GAGAGAGAGAGAGAGAGAGAGAGAGAGAGAGAGAGAGAGAGAGAGAGAGAGAGTCTCACATTCATTCGACAGATATAACGTGCATGGTGAGAGGGCACGAGGGAGAGAGAGGGAGACAGAGAGAGGCCATGTGCTGGGAGGTAGGGGAAAAAAAAAACAAAAACAGATAGCGGGGAGAGAGAGAGAAATAGCGGAAGTGTGTGTGTGTGTGTGTGTGTGTGTGTGTGGTGTGTTTGTGTGTGTGTGTGTGTGTGTGTGTGTGTGTGTGTGTGTTTTAGATCTTCCCCACAACAGCCCCAATTCCACGGAGATTAATAGATTCAGAATCAAAGCAGTCTTTGTCCTATTGCAGACAACGAGAGCATTTGAGATGTCCAACATATTAAAGCAATTTTATAATTAGACAGTTTTTTGGTTGTCCTTGGGGTACCCGTTTCATTGTTCTTGCAGCTCCCCTTTTACTGTGCCTCTTACGCACAAGGCTGCCCACGTTGATTGTGGTTGAGCAGCAGCTGCCCACATTCCCGTGTGCCTTCACCGCCCACTTGCACGTTATTTCAGGAGGCAGAGTAAAAGGGAAGGTAAGCTCCTGTGCATTTCTCTTCAGAGCTTCATACTCCTGTTCATTTCATTTCAGATCTTCAGCTTATACAGTCTTCGTGTCCGTCCTTCACATTCATACTTCCGTTCATTTCATTTCTGATCTTCATATCGTCTGTTCTCTTGATGATGCTCATTCGTATGTATTTGTTAGTAGCACAAAGGGAGTGGAGGGGAGGGTGGAGGGTAAGGGATAGAAGGCGGAGTTCTATAGGAGTATGGGGCAGGAGAGGTAGGGGCAATGGGAAGGAAAGAAATATGTAGAGGGCAGGATAGAGTATGACATGCAAAGAGCAGGGGAGAGGTGAGCTTCACAGATTTCTAAATATTCACCGCTGAAACAGACCACTTTAGCAAAAAAAACCTATGGCGAGTGGCCACCCCTACAGACCGGACAGGACCAGTTCGGGTGTGGGCTACGGAAGCACCGCATCCAATTTTCGAAGTCACAGTTACTGCATCGAATGGCAAGGCGCAGACAGATGTCACAGGCTACGTGGCTCGTACATGCTAGGAACAAAGGGGCACGCCGACCGCAATTATAGAGGCATTGCCGTTCCAGCCCCTGTCTACAAATTGGACATGACATGTCGGAGTGGCGTACATGAGTACAGTACTGACTGTCATCGTACGTATGGAAGCAAAAACTCGCATGGACTATCCCTTCATTATCCTCGCGGCACAAGGCATGCGAACCACATGCTAGTTGAATCTCCAGCGGGTCATCACAAAGCGGCATGGAGCATCTTTCTTGGGCTTCCTCAGTATCTATTCCTTCTCTATGGGCAGACGACGACAGGGAGGATCGGTCCAACGCAAGGGCGTTCAGCTGCTGCAGGATTTGATCCGCAACAGCTCGCCCTAGTAGTGATAAACTATGAGCACATCGCTCTGCTGGTGGTCCATATAGAAGTCTATTTTCCTCCTCGGACTGCTGTGTCCATCGTTTGTCTGGCAAGAAAGAGGGAGATCCGTGTGTGTGTGTGTGTGTGTGCGTGTGTGTGTGTGTGTGTGTGTGTGTGTGTGTGAGAGAGAGAGAGAGAGAGAGAGAGAG